ATGAAACGTCTGCAAGAAAACCACAGAGAAGGTCTCCACAATCCTCCTCCTCCTCCTCTCTGCAAACACCTCTTCCTTTGAGCACTGATGATGTTCCCTAGTTGGGTCATGAAATGTCTGCAAGAAAACAGCCCAGCTCTGAGAGCACCAAGGACCCCATAGTCATTGTCTTCTTCTTCTTCTTCTTCTTCTTCTTCTTCTTCTTCTTCTTCTTCTTCTTCTTCTTCTTCTTCTTCTTCTTTCTTTTTTCTTCCTTCTTCTTCTTCCTTCTTCTTTCTTCTTTTTTTCCTTCTTCCTTATTCTTCTTCTTTCTCCTTCCTCCTCCTCCTCCTCCTCCTCCTCCTCCTCCTCCTCCTCTTCTTCCTCCTCCTCCTCCTCCTCCTCCTCCTCCTCTCTGTATACCCCTCACCCTTCTAGCACTGATGATGTTCCCTAGTTGGGTCATGAAATGTCTGCAAGAAAACAGCCCAATAATCATTGTCTTCTTCTTCTTCTTCTTCTTCTTCTTCTTCTTCTTCTACTCTTCTTCTTCTTCTTCTTCTTCTTCTTCTTCTTCTTCTTCTTCTTCTTCTTCTTCTTCTTCTTCTTCTTCTCCCTCCTCTCCTCCTCCTCCTCCTCCTCCTCCTCCTCCTCCTCCTCCTCTCTATACCCCTCCCCCTTTCCAGCACTGATGATGTTCCCTAGTTGGGTCATGAAACGTCTGCAAGAAAACTGCCCAGCTCTGAGAGCACCAAGGACCCCATAGTCATTGTCTTCTTCTTCTTCTTCTTCTTCTTCTTCTTCTTCATCTTCTTCTTCTTCTTCTTCTTCTTCTTCTTCTTCTTCTTCTTCTTCTTCTTCTTCTCCTTCTCCTCCTCCTCCTCCTCCTCCTCCTCCTCCTCCTCCTCTTCTTCCTCCTCCTCCTCCTCCTCCTCCTCCTCCTCTCTGTATACCCCTCACCCTTCTAGCACTGATGATGTTCCCTAGTTGGGTCATGAAATGTCTGCAAGAAAACAGCCCAATAATCATTGTCTTCTTCTTCTTCTTCTTCTTCTTCTTCTTCTTCTTCTTCTTCTTCTTCTTCTTCTTCTTCTTCTTCTTCTTCTTCTTCTTCTTCTTCTTCTTCTTCTTCTTCTTCTTCTTCTTCTTCTTCTTCTTCTTCTCCTCCTCCTCCTCCTCCTCCTCCTCCTCCTCCTCCTCCTCCTCTTCTTCCTCCTCCTCCTCCTCCTCCTCCTCTCTGTATACCCCTCACCCTTCTAGCACTGATGATGTTCCCTAGTTGGGTCATGAAACGTCTGCAAGAAAACTGCCCAGCTCTGAGAGCACCAAGGACTCAATAGTCATTGTCTCCTCCTCCTCCTCTCTGTATACCCCCCACCCTTCTAGTACTGATGAAGTTACCTAGTTTGGCTAATGAAACGCCTGCAAGAAAACAAGCAAGCTGAGAGAGCACCAGGGACTCCACAGTTGTTCTCCTCCTCCTCTTCCTCCTCTCTGCAAACCCCTCGGATGATGTTCCCTACTTAGGATAATGCAACGTCTGCAAGAAAACCGCGCAGCTCAGAGACCTCCCAGGACCCCTTCATTTCAAACCCCAAGCTACAAACTGCCTCCTTCATCGGCATTCAAGCCCAGCGGGACCCCCTCCCACGCCCGGGGGGTTGGAGAGAGGCCGCGGGGTCACTTACGGCGGAGAAAGACGCGTGGGAATGTGCAAACCCGGGCTCGCCGCTCCCGCTCAGCTCCGCAGCGCTTCCCCCTTAAGTGGCACGCGCGGCCCGGAGCCCGTGACGTCACCCGCCCAGGGGAATTCCGTCCTTGAGTCACTTCGGGCTTCCCCGCCCGGCTCTCGACCGCCGGCGGGCGGGGACAGGCGGGCGGGTGCGGCAAAACCGCCCAGAACCAATACCAAACAATCCGGAGGCGCTCAGGCGCGCCTGGGCTGGAGACGCGCTCCTTCCTCCTTGCAAAGGAAAGGAGGCCACGAGGAAAGCCTCGGGAGGGCGGGGAGGGAAAGTGAAGCGCTTTGGGCTGGGCGGAAGCGGGACGGCCCTCCGGCGGCTTGCAAGGGGAAGCAGGGTGGCGAGGAAGCGTGCGTTTTACAACAACCTCGCAATGTAGTCTTTCTTTCTTTTTTTTAACCACCATGAATTTGTGTTTTTTCACAGCGCAGCATAGGGAATGGATTGGCTTCATTTAGAGCAGGGGCCTTCCAACTTGGCCCCTTGATGACTTGTGGACTTCACAAGTCATCAAAGGGCCAAGTTGGAAGACCCCTGATTTAGAATCTACCCTTCATTAAAACAACAACAACAACAACAACAACCGTGCAAGGGGTTGCTGGAAGCATACAGTCCATCTTCAGCTGCCCCACCAGGGGGTTGGACTTGATGACCTCCAAGGACCCTTCCAACTTTTTTTATTATTACTATTACTATTACTACTACTACTACTACTATTATTATTATTATATTATTATTATTATTATTATTATTATTATTGTTATTATTATTATTATTATTATTATTATTATTATTTCAACCCTGAATTCTGCCAAGCCTGGAGTCCGCCTCTCCGGATTCGCCCGCGGACGGCACGTTGCAGCTTCAGGGGTAGATCCTTTCTCTTAAGGCAGTGTTTCCCAAACTTGACAATTTTAAGGCAGGTGGACTTCAACTCCCAGAATTCCACAGCCAGCAGTGCTGGCTGTGGAATTCTGGGAGTTGAAGTCCACCTGCCTTAAAATTGTCAAGTTTGGGAAACACTGTCTTAAGGAACGTTCTTTGCTTTGGGGTTTGGGCTGAATAAAGCCCGGAGTAAATGAAGGAGACGGGACGTACTACGGGCCTCCTGCAGTGCTTCTCCACCCCATAAAGTACGAGGTGGGGGGGGGAGCCTGCCCTTTCTTCTACGTAACAGCAGTAGTAAGTCGTGATCTGCAAGGGTGCGCGTGTGCAAGCGCGTTTTCTCCCCAGAGCCTAATCCGGACACGTGTATTGGCTGCGGGCGTGGGGGTGCGGGAGAGAGGACCACGTGACCAGCTCTGGGTCACGTGACCAGCCGAGGAGGAAGGAGGAGGAGGAGGGGGCTTTCGGAGTGGTTTGGGGTCAGCGCTGAATGTGGGTTTGTGTGTGTGTGTGTGTGTGTGTGTGTGTGTGAGAGAGAGAGAGAGAGAGAGAGAGAGAGAGAGAGAGAGAGAGAATAATAAAACAATAGAGTTGGAAGGGACCTTGGAGGTCTTCTAGTCCACCCCCGAGAGAGAGACAGAGAGAGAGAGAGAGAGAGAGAGAGAGAGAGAGAGAGAGAGAATAACAGAAAAACAGTTGGAAAGAGACCCTGGAGGTCTTCTAGTCCAACCCCGTGTGTGTGTGTGTGTGTTTGTGTGTGTGTGTGTGTGTGTGTGAGAGAGAGAGAGAGAGAGAGAATAATAAAACAATGGAGTTGGAAGGGATCTTGGAGGTCTTCTAGTCCAACCCCCTGAGAGAGAGAATGAATAACAGAAAAACAGTTGGAAAGGGACCTTGGAGGTTTTCTAGTCCAACCCCATGTGTGTGTGTGTGTGTGTGTGTGTGTGTGTGTGAGAGAGAGAGAGAGAGAGAGAGAGAGAAAATAAACAACAGAGTTGGAAGGGACCTTGGAGGTCTTCTAGTCCACCCCCCTGAGAGAGAAAGAAGGAACTTTTTTCCTGCTAGCTATACCCCCCCCCCCCGTCAGCTTCTGTCCCTTTTCAGCCTCAATTATGGTTGGGTTTTTTTGGCCTGTTTCTGGTCGCCAAATCTGTTCAGCTTTTGGAGACTCCTTCTGCTGATGGACAGAAAATAATAATAATAATAATAATAATAAAAAAAGCCTCTCTAATTTCTTCCCAACCTAAGAGGCTGTTGTCAAAGTGGAGAAACGCTGCAGTGGAGGAATAATAATAATTAATACTCTTAGTCTCCTGGGAAGATCTTGATCAGGTGGGCGGTTTGGGTTTGGCACCAGGTTGTAAATCCTGCCGTGGGCCGGGAGTTACCTGAGGACAATGAGGTCTGGAAACCAGAATGTCTTTTAGGAAACAAGAGCAGGCAAGGTAAAACAGAATCATCTTGAGGTCATCTGTTTAAGCCAGGAGTGTCCATCTTTGGCAACTTGGTAAGACATGTGGATTTCAACTCCCAGAATTCCTCATCCCCAGCCAGCATAGCTTGCTTTACATTTGTATTTGAAACTGGCACAGCTGGCTGGGGAATTCTGGGAGTTGAAGTCCACAAGTCTTAAAAGTTGCCAAGGTTGGACAGCCCTGGCTTAAACGGATGACCTCAAGACGGTTCTGTTTTATGTTGCCTGCTGTTGTTTACGAAAAGACATTTTACTTTGTTTTATTTTGTTTTATTCTGCACTAGATTTATATTCTGCTTTTCCTTCCAGAAACAATGGTTGGAAACTGATCGAGGAGAGAAGCAACCTGGAATTAAGGAGAACGTTCCTAACAGTGAGAACAATTAACCAGTGGAACTGCTGGCCTCCAGAAGTTGTGGATGCTTCATCACTGGAGGTTTTAAAGAAGAGACTGGACAGTCATTTGTCTGAGATGGTCTAGGACAGGGGTAGGCAACCTTGGCTCTTTTATGACTCGTGGACTTCAATTCCCAGAATTCCTGAGCCAGCATGGGGGAACTATGGCCCCCTCATGGCTTGTGGACTCCAACTCCCAGAATTCCTCAGCCAGTATGGGGGAACTATGGCCCCCTCATGACTGGTGGACTTCAACTCCCAGAATTCCTCAGTCAGTATGGGGGAACTTTGGCCCCTTCATGACTCATGGACTTCAACTCCCAGAATTCCTGAGCCAGCATGGCTCAGCTTGGAAACCTCTCCCTTCCCCCTCAGCATGGCTGGCTCAGGAATTCTGGGAGTTGAAGTCCACCAGTCATAAAAAAGCCAAGGTGGCCTACCCCTGGTATAGGTTCTCCTGCCTGAGCAGAGGGCTGGACTAGAAGACCTCCAAGGTCCCTTCCAGCTCTATTCTATTGTTCTGTTTTATTCTATTTCAAGCCTCAAAGCTTCCTTCCCTGCTTTCTTTGCCAATGAATTTGGTCTTGAGAGACAAGGAATAGGTTTTTTAGCCTCCGCCGCACCCCGTCTCAAGTGCAAACGAAATGCCAGCGCAAAGAAATCAACGGCAATTGCAAAGAGTTTGCCGTGACAACATGTTTACCTGGAAAAAGTCCCGTGGAGTTCTGCAGGCCTCAGCTTCCTGGAAAGAGATCCCGCTGGGTAATCTTAATTAGCTGAGGGCAGGGTAAACAAGAGATAAATGTAGGTCAGTAGAACCTTATTTACTCGGCTAGAAAGTGACTTCAACGCAAACTTTGGCACCCAATGGCCTCGCGCCTTGGCTGAAAATTTTTGTCTTTCAATACGGGAAAGTCCCTGACTTATAACCGCTCGGTTAGCGACGGTTTGAAGTTACAACGGCGCCGAAAAAAAGGAACTTAACGACCATTCTTCACACTTACGGCTGTTGCAGCCTCCCCACGCACGCTCACGTGATCAAAATTCAGCTGCTCGGCAACTGGCTTGTACTTACGACGGTTGTGTCCCCGGAGGTGTGTGTCACGTGATCCCCTTTGGCGACTTTCTGTCCAGCAAAGTCAAGAGGGAAGTGAGACTCCTTTAACGGCCACGTTACTGGTTTTACAACTGCAGTGATTCACTTACAGGCCGTGGTAAGGAAGGTCTGTCTTGCTATCAAAGGAAATTTTGGACTCTTATCTTTTTAAAAACCCTAACCACCGGCGCCTTTAAATCTGGAATGAAACAGATAAAACTTTTTTTTTGAAGGGGTGGCCGGTTTTTTGCTTTCAAGGTTTCCCAGAGGTTTAAATAATTTAACGAGTCATCTGCCAGAGCGTTGGTGGTTTGCAGATGTGGCCGAGATCAAGAAGTCAGAATCAGAATATAGCTGGAAGGGACCTTGGAGGTCTTCTAGTCCACCCCCCTGCTCAGGCAGGAAACTCTATACCATTTCAGTCAAATGGCTGTTCAGCCTCTTCTTAGAAACTTCCAGTGTTGGAGCATTCACAGCTTCTGGAGGCAGGTTGTTCCACTGGTTAATTGTTCTAACTGTCAGGAAGCTTCTCCTTAGTTCCAGGTTGCTTCTCTCTTTGGTTAGTTTCTTCTGTTCCCCTGATTAATTGTCCTTCCTGTTAGGAAATTCCTCCTTAATTTCAGGCTGCTTCTCTCGTTGATCAGTTTCCATCCTTTGTTTCTTGTCTTGCCTTCAGGTGCTTTGGAAAATAAATTGACCCCCGCTCCTCTTTGTGGCAGCTTCTCAAAGAATTAATATTTGGGTGAGTGTCTCTGTACGAAATTTCTAGTTCGGTGAACTCAGCGGTCCTCAAGGTTTGTTGTTTTTAGTTGCGAAGTCTCGTCCGACCCATCGCGACCCCATGGACACGTTCCTCCAGGCCTTCCTGTCCTCTACCATCTTCTGGAGTCCATGGAAGCTCACGCCTGCTGCTTCAGGGACTCCATCCAGCCACCTCCTTCTCCGTCGTCCCCTCCATCTTTCCCAGCATCAGGCTCTTCTCCAGGGAGTCCTTCCTTCTCATTAGGTGGCCAAAGTATTTGAGTTTCCACTTCAGGATCTGGCCTTCTCAAGAGCAGTCGGGGTTGATCTCCTCTAGGACTGACCGGTTGGATCGCCTTGCAGTCCAGGGGACTCGCAGGAGTCTTCTCCAGCACCAGAGTTCAAAGGCCTCCATTCTTTGGCGCTCAGTCCAACTTTCACAGCCATACATTGCAACTGGGAAAACCATGGCCTGGACTATACGTACTTTTATTGGCAGGGTGATGTCTCTGCTTTTGAGTATGCTGTCTAGATTTGCCATAGCTTTCCTCCCCAGGAGACAGCGTCTTTTACCGTCTTGCCTGCAGTCCTCATGGTTGCCATCCCCAAAATGCAAGAGATGCATTAAAAAACCAGGAAAAAAAATCTGGAAAATGGGAGAAACATCTCCTCAATGTTGAGTCGGGTGAAGGGTGAAGACCTCAATTCTGAGCTGGAAAGGTTGACAAAGAATCACTGGCAAGTAGACCTTGACTTAACCTTGATTTGTTTTGCGACCTTTCAAAGCTGTCAAGGATTTTCCCGCAGAGGCATTTACAGAGTCGAAGTTACGACGGCCAGGCCATTCTCTCCATAGTCACAGGACCGCACATGTTCAGCAATTGTCCCGTGTTTGCGACTGCTTGCAGTGTCCTGCAATCATATGACCACGTTTTACTACAGTTTTGTATTTATTTTTTTGTGGGTCACTTTTAAGACAATCACAAGTGACAACTGCAATGAGCAAGCTGTCTTATATGTTGTAAGTCGAGAACTTCCTGACAGTGAGAACAATTAATCAGTGGAACAACCTGCCTCCAGAAGCGGTGAATGCTCCAACACTGGAGGTTTTTAAGAAGAGACTGGACAGCCATTTGTCCGAAATGGTGTAGGGTTTCCTCCCTGAGCAGGGGGTTGGACTAGATGACCTCCAAGGTCCCTTCCAACTTTATTATTATTATTATTATTACTACTATTATTACTACTGCTCGGAAAAGGGAGAGACCTAACTTTCTTCCTGGTTTACACAGTTGCTAGAAAACCTTGAGATCTCCAGGTATTAGCGATATTAGGAAATAAATAATATGTGTAAAAAGTGGTTTCCACATGAGGAAAATGATCGAGTCGAATTTAAAAGAGGAGCTAAGAAACACAAAACTCAAAAAAGAGTTTTAAAATACCATTTTCCTCAGGATGATGTGAAGGCCCCCCATATATATTTCACCTGTTCTCTTTATATAATTTCAGTCCTTCATCATTTTCAATGCTCCGTTTTAGCCATTAAGAAAAGATACGCAGTAAATCCTGCAGAAAAAAGAAAATCAAATTAATTGTGGAAACGGCAGTTTTATTGCTTTGGCCTTCCATGCTGCAGCTAGACATCAAACTGAAGTTCTGATAACTCGGTTGGTCAAAATTTCCTTTTCAAACATTCTTTTTCTGCTTCTGGAATGGCTGCTTTTTAATACTGTCCATTCTAGAAACCAAGGCCCTGATTTGGTGATACTTTGTGCATCTCAAGGCCTGCTTTAAAAATCTGAAAATCCAGATATTTTTTTACTAATACTAGGTTTTCTAGCACAGCGGGGCTTTGCCAGCTAGAGTTGTGGAATTAGATTCATGTAATATGACTATAATGCAAAGAAGAATTTGCAAATTTACAGCACTCTGTTATATGAAGACTGCAGTTTCTCTAAGGGGGCATTTCTGACAGTTTCTGAAAGTCAGAATGATAGATGTAAATCAGTTCAGAAAACTTAAGTGCTGAAGAATTTCTATTGATTCCCAAGAAATGTAATTTTTTTTTCTCCAGGATTTGAGGATCTGTAGCTTTTCCAAAGAGTGTACATATGTAAATAGTACGCAGGCGTGCATATGAGCATGATATATAACATTTTACATTGTTTTGCTCATTCTTTAGATTTAAAGAACAATACTAATACAGTGCTAACTAATAAATAATGGAATTCATTTTACATAGAAAGATGGGAACAACATAATATAAGACATGGCAGAAAACTGAACGAAATGGCTAGTCTCTCTCTCTCTTTTAGTCTCTCAGCGAAGCATTTTAAAATTTCTGGATAAAAGGAAAGAAGAGAATTGCGATTAAATGACAAAGGGGAAATAATTTTAAAAGTTGCATAAAATATAGAAAGGCACAGATGCAGAATTGCATGCTGAATTCTCTAGTTAACACACTCCTGTATGGAAATTTAAGTACTGCAGAACAATAATACCATAAAAGCAATGCTATCTGTAAGATTTTTGAAGTGTTTTAAAAAGAATTTGGTGCAATTGAAGAATAAGTCAAAATGGCTGATATTTTTCAGATACGTAATGTGAAAGAGAAGAAAAAAAATAAACCGTGTATACAAAACGTTTTAGGCAAGCTTGAAAACTAGGCAGAAAGAAAACTTATGAAACTTCTGAATTATTCTCCTGCCTTGGAATTTATCCCTTGCAAGAAATTTTGGGCAATTCTCCATTTTGGGGCCAAAAAATTGGAACCAATCAACATGACATGGATGGATGATCCATAGCTATCTGTGTTGCTTTGATTATTCATTGGTTTTAGTCTTAGTTTTAGTTTAAAATTGCGCAAGGATTCCAGGAATGCTACTTCATTGTCCTAAGGTATGATGACATTGATTATTGATTAATCTATATCTCATTTCAATAAATTACCATTGCTAGTTTTATTGATTTGTGTCTTAATAGCAATCCTTTAGGAGATTTTCAAATATATTTTAGGACATGTGGCAATCTTTAAGTCAATTTAAGTGTCCCTGTTGTGATAGATATGGAATTTCTTTTTTTTTACTCAAAGAAAGACTGCTTTTATCCAATTTTGGCTAGTTTACACACTCTATAACGTTTAGTTATTATTTACGTATTTGAGAGAACATTGCAGACATACACAAAGCCTAAAATTAAAATAGGAACGGGAACGGAACACTGCTTAAATTTTTTTTTTCATTCTCTAAATGCCGATTGGCTTACTGACAGCAATCTTAGCTTTTTAAGGATCCGCCAGCATTGAAGAACGATCACAGCATGTCTTCCAATTACTTTTGAGAATTAGAATTAAGGTAGTGTTGAGGGCTGTGTGGGAATCAACATTACTCCCTAACTTCTTTCTTTCTTCTTCTTTTCTTCTTCTTCTTCTTCTTCTTCTTCTTCTTCTTTCTTCTTCTTCTTCTTCTTCTTCTTCTTCTTCTTCTTCTTCTTCTTCTTCTTCTTCTTCTTCTTCTTCTTCTTCTTCTTCTTCTTCTTCTTCTTCTTCTCCTCCTCCTCCTCCTCCTCCTCCTCCTCCTCCTCCTCCTCCTCCTCCTCCTCCTCCTCCTTCTTTTTTCCTAGCCATGGCTGACTCCGATTCGTTAGGAATTGCTGAAATGGTGAAACGGGTATCTGAGCAACAAAATACACAGGCTTCTGAAATACAAAAAAGCAAGGAGGTGCTCACACAACTGCAGGTAATATTTTAAAAAGACTTTACGGTCGGGTAGAGCAGTGGCCTGGCGGGCACCAGTCAACTTTTTCGCTGTTTTGAGTATTCCTTGGTTTAACTCTGAAATATTTTTTCCTGAAGGCTCAGCTTCAGGATCTTGAGATCCAGAGGAACACCACTGTAGCCGAAAAAAAGGCCATTGAAAGGCAGACGTATTTCTCCGAGGAAGCCATAGCAACCACCAGACGCCACTGCGAAGATCTGGAGTCTCAAATCTCAGCCTTGCACGCCGAGAACGGGAAGCTGATTCGGGATACCGAAGCTCTAGAAGAAGAGTTTGAAATGAAGCTTTTAGGAAACCGGGCTTACTATGAGAAAATGGCCACTCACCGAAACCGGTTGGAGGAAGCAGAAAGTAAATTGCCTTTTGTAGTGGCGCTAAAGACAAAAAGGGACACCATCCAGCAACTGATGGGGCAGAAGAAAGAGCTAATGGCTTCTCTTCAGCAAGCAAAAGAACAAGACACGGCTGGCCAAGTCCAGGTCTGGTTCACGGCCTTTGCAATTATTTTATCTTTCTCACCAAATCTGCTCTTTGTTTCTTCTGAAGAATACAGCTGATTATCAATGTATAGCAGGATAATTTGAGGAGGGGAAATAAATACAGGTGGTCCTTGACTTACAGCCATTCATTTAGAGACCGTTTGAAGTTACAACAGCATGGCCATTTTTCACACTTATGACTATTGCAGCGTTCCCAGGGTCACGGGGGTCAAGATTCGGATGCTTGGCAAATGACTCATACTTATGACGATCCCAGTGTCCCCTTTTGCAACCCAGATTCACTTAATAACCGGGTTACCAACTTAACAACGACATGCTGTGTATTGACAGCTTTGTCCAAAGTTACCTTTTTACCTAAGACAAGTATTATGTGTAAACACAGTCATTGTGTACTGTGTGCAATGATTCCCTTAACAATTGTGGCAAGAAATGTCGTAAAAGAGGGCAACACTCGCTTAACAACCGTCTTCCTTAGCAATAGAGGTTTGGGCTCAGTTGCGGCCGTACATTGAGTACTACTTATAGTTAAGATGCATTCCCTTGTAAACTGTTCTGCACAGGGGCGACTTGGTGAATTGTTCTTACTGTTAATGAGTTTTTTCCCCCTAACGTTCTGTAGAATCTGCCTTCCTGCAACTTAAAACCATTATTTTATGTGGAATCCTTGGTGCTCTCTGAGCTTGGATGTTTGCTTGCAGATGTTTCATGACCCAACTAGATAACATCATCAGAAACTATTGTATTTTCGGTACAATAGAGAACAAACTTTGGCTGTGTTTTTATCTGATTTCCCTTTGATCTCTCCCATCCAGTCTTCCTACTTGTCTCCTTTTCTTCTCCCATGTTTAAACAGATCCTTTTCAGCTGAGAATAACCATCTTTCATTTCCAATTGGTGCTAATTTAGGTTTTCGGTGAGAACTTCCACGGTAACAAACATGAAAAGAAACAGTTAAAACCATTCTAATGATCAACCCCTATGAACATTTCTGCTTTCATATTTCATGCCTGGTTCCCCAATATTATCAGATTTATTTTACCGTATCTCCATTCCCTTATATGTATCCCTGCGCAGGATGAAATCTTGTGTCTGCAAAGTGAAATAAAGATTTTGAAAGAGGCTGTGGGTGAAATGGAGAACGCCGTTCGGGATGAAAAAAGCAGGCACGCTAATCTTCAGAAAGAAATTGAGGTGAGCTAAAGCTATGGAGTCCCATCTGTTTTTTTTTTTAAGAAGCACCCTTAAATGTATGCATTTTTGAATAATGATAAGGCATCCCTAAGACGGCAATGTCCTTATCGCACAACTATAAAAGCAGTTAGTTAATTTTATCCCAGTATGAAATTATAAACTCTGTCAAATTAGTTTCTGTGGACATATAACGGCTGTCCTTGTTGGCAGTTGCTGAGTAGGCAAAATGTAAGATGTTGACATTTGCACTCAGTGCCTGAAGGTCACCTTGGTAAGGCCACACTTGGAATACGGCATCCAGTTTTGGTCACCACGATGTAAAAAAGATGTTGAGACTCCACAAAGAGTGCAGAGAAGAGCAACAAAGATGATAAGGGGACTGGAGGCCAAAGCATATAAGGAACGGTTGCTGGAATTGGGGATGTCTAGTTTAATGAAGGGAAGGACAAGGGGGGACAGGATAGCAGCGTTCTAGTATCTCAGAGGCTGTTCAAGGAGAGAAGCAACCTGGAACTAAGGAGAAATTTCCTGACAGGGAGAGCAATTAACCAGTGGAACAGCTTGCCACCAGAAACTGTGGGTGATCCAACTCTGGAAGCTTGTAAGAAAAGACTGGACAGCCATTTCTCTGAAATGGTTATAGGGTCTCCTGCTTGAGCAGGACAAGAAGACCACCAACCAAGGTCCCTTCCAACTCTTGTTATCCCATATTCTGAAGGATAAAACCGAATGCTATTTGGGTGGGATGCCTTAGTTTGATGGCTACTTATAAAAGAGACGATTTCTGTTGAATGTTATTATCTGAGGGGTTCTGTTTTGTGCTGAGCAGATGCCCTGTATTTTATTTGCATTTTGTGCGTTTTGTACTTCTGAGCAGATATGCCCCTGGATTGCATTATGCCTTTCAGATGTGAGATTTAGTTCCATTTTAATAATAATAATAATAACAACAACAACAACAACAACAACAACAAAGACCTACAAATAGAAATAGAAAGACTGTGGCAAAAGCAAGCAAGGGTAGTACCAATAGTCATAGGCGCCTTGGGTGCAATCCCAAAACAACTGGAGCACCACTTGAACACCATTGGCATTGACAAATTCGCTATTAGTCAATTGCAAAAGGCGGCCTTACTAGGAACTGCTTCCATCCTGCGACGATATCTGTAATACCATCAAACATCCACATCTGCCTATCCCAGGTCCTGGGTAAGGACTCGATAGGTAGACAAAATGCCAAATCCAGTCTGAACATCTGGCTGACTGTGCGATGATCCATAATAATAATGAAGTAATAAAGTTGGAAGGGACCTTGGAGTCATCTAGTCCAACCCCCTGCTCAGGCAGGAAACCCTATACCATTTCGGACAAATGGCTGTCCAGTCCCTTCTTAAAAACTTCCAGTGTTGGAGCATTTATTGCTTCTGGAGGCAGGTTGTTCCACTGGTTAATTGTTCTCACTGTCCGGAAGTTTCTCCTTAGTTCTAGGTTGCTTCTCTCCTTGATCAGTTTCCATCCGTTGCTTCTTGTCCTGCCTTCAGGGGCTTTGGAAAATAGCTTGACTCCCTCTTCTTTGGGGCAGCCCCTGAGATACTAGAAGACTGCTATCATGTCATCCATCGTCCTTCTCTTCGTTAAACTAGACATCCTCAATTCCAGCAACTGTTCCTTGTATGTTTTAGCCTCCAGTCCCCTGATCATCTTTGTTGCTCTTCTCTGCACTCTTTCTAGAGTCTTCCCAAACTGTTCAGCGGGTATTTATTCAGCAGTACATCCCACTGCGCTCAGTGAGTTTCTTCCAACTCTTTCCATTGGAAAGCCGCATCGTATCACGCTGCAATCTGCAGATCTTTGCCGTCCCTCTTACTGTTCACTCGCCTTTAATCACGCAGGACTTTCTTTCTCAGTCTTGTCCTTTTATTCTTGCTGGGAACAGCTGCAGAACAAGAGAGGCGAAGCGGTTTTCAGGCGTCTGCGTTGCCAAGTTAACAACCTGGAGCTGGAGAGAAGGCAGGGGCGTTTGAAGGTGCAACAGCTGGAAGAGAAAGCCGAAGAATTACGAAAGCTTTGGCAAGCCACAGATGAGTAAACTCATTCAAGGAGATCAGCTCCTCTTTTCAGGGAAAGAACCGGTTAATGTTTTTTTTTCCGTTCATCAAACGTCTGTCATCCCTAGTTGCCTTACCTTTGCAGTTGTATTGTTTTTCCTGGCTGTTCTCAACCTCTAGTAACTAATGGCCTTTATCACAGGTGCAAAAGTCAAATTGCGACATACAAGCCAATATATAATCCCGCTGCTCTTTGATTTGCTGCTGTTTAGATTTTTGGTCTCCCGCACACTGCAGTTAGACCTTGCAAAGGTGATCTAAGGAGGCTGCAATTGATGCAGTGTTAATTTTGTGGCACACTAAATGAGGCCTTGTGGAGAACTGGGCACCTAGTTTAATCATTTCATAAGATAAATTGTGTTTGGAGGGAAAGGATCACTCGCAGGTTGAAAACACATCTTAACCCATTGCAGTTTGAAGCATTCTTAATTGGAGCAGCACCGTAGCAAAAACAATTAAAGACAAGAGGGCGTAATTATATTTTACGTGCCCATGAGTGCCCTCAGATATCTTCAGCACTTTTGGGAGGTCAATAAATGCTTAGAATTATGGAGTGGGAAGGAAAGATGGATCGTTCAGGAGTTGCATGACTTTTAACACAGAAAGAGCAAGTTCAAAAACACTCCACAAGTCCTTTGGGCAAAGCAAATTCAAAACAAGCAAATTCAAAACAAGATAAAACCAAGGCAGCAGAAAAAAGCCCTTTCTTTAAAAAAAGAAAGCATGATATTCCAGTAAAATTAAACCCTTTGCTGTTCCTGTTTCATTTTCAAAGTCCACGTTCACCTGATCCATTTTTGTCGTAGCAAAGAAAGATTGTATGGATTGTACACTTCTTGCTCAAATAAATTCTCGATTAAAATGTTCTTTCTTTGCATGCAATTTTCTTTCTCAGCATAACGTAGGGGAAGAGCAGAATTGAAACATGCTGTTCCCAAACAGTGAGTAACAAAGATAAAACCGTTTTTATTTTAACACTGGTGTGTGTTGGTGTGTGTTTGTGTGTACACGCCCACGCATATATATACATATATCCCTAACATGGTTTGATGGCGCCACCTAGTGGCAGAGTCCCATCTTTGCTTGATGCTCATAGGAGCAAAGGAAAATGTGTTTTATTTTCCATTTAGGCCAGTGGTTCTCAACCTGTGGGTCAGGACCCCATTTGGGGTCGAACGACCATTTCACAGGGGTTGCCAAACAACGCAGTCTGCCATTTTTTCCCCCTTTTCCTTAGCTGTGCTACTCCCTTTTATTCTATTGGCTTTTGAAAGCCAATAGAATAGACTCTCTTGAATAGAGTCTAATTCTATTGGCTTTCCAAAGCCAATAGGAATTGTCCAGGCTGTCTTTGCCCTGCTGAGCCTCCGAAAGTCCCATTCTGCAAACGGTGCTGCACCAGTTGAGTAGTCCTCGACTTACGACCGGTTGAGTAGTCCTCGACTTACGACCGGTTGGGGGGTTGCGGCATTAAAAAGGTTGAGAACCACTGATTTAGGCAATTCCTAGAGAGAAATCGAGACAGCTTTATTCTCTTGTCCAAAGAGAATAAGAATTATGTCCACATAATTCAAACCCATCCTGTGTCCTTCTGTAGAAAAAAAACCCAACCTAATTTAAAATAACTCATGGGAAGCTAACAACCTGCCTTTGTCATTGCGTTGGGTGTTGACACGGACAATTGATGAATCAATTAATTAACCAATTAACTAATAACCTAACTGCCTGTATTAATGTGAGACAGACTCCTTGAAAATTTTGCAGATCCGTGGCAGGGAGGATTGAAAAGGATCTTTTTTAAAAAGACAGGTAGTCCTCAACGTACGATCACCATTGGGCCCGGTGTTTATGCTGCTAAGTGAGACATTTGTTGAGTTTTGCCCCGTTTTATGACTTTTCTTGCCTCAGTTTGTTAAATGAATCCCTGCAATCACAAGGTTGTTAACTGAATCTAGTTTGCCCCATCGACTTTGCTGGTTAGAGGGTCCCAAAAGGCGATCCTGTGAATCTCCCAGGACACGGTGACCGTCGTAAATAGGAAGCGTAAATAGGAAGCATCCAAATATAAATCATATGACTCTGGGGGAGGCTGCAACGGTCGTAAGTGTGAAGAACTTCTTCTTCTTCTTCTTCTTCTTCTTCTTCTTCTTCTTCTTCTTCTTCTTCTTCTTCTTCTTCTTCTTCTTCTTCTTCTTCTTCTTCTTCTTCTCCTCCTCCTCCTCCTCCTCCTCTTCTTCTTCTTCTTCTTCTCCTCCTTCTTTTCCTTCTTCTTCTTCTCCTTCTCCTTCTCCTCTTTCTCCTCCTCCTCCTCCTCCTCCTCCTCTTCTTCTCCTCCTCCTCCTCCTCCTCCTCCTTCTCCTCCTCCTCCTCCTCCTCCTCCTCCTCCTCCTCCTCCTCTTCTTCTTCTTCTTCTTCTTCTTCTTCTTTCTTCTTCTTCTTCTTCTTCTTCTTCTTCTTCTTCTTTTTCTTCTTCTTCTCCTCCTCCTCCTCCTCCTTCTCCTTCTTCTTCTCCTTCTCCTTCTCTTCTCCTTCTCCTTCTCCTTCTCCTTCTCCTTCTCCTCCTCCTCCTCCTCCTCCTCCTCCTCCTCCTCCTCCTCCTCCTCCTCCTCCTCCTCCTCCTCCTCCTCCTCTTCTTTCTTCTTCTTCTTCTTCTTCTTCTTCTTCTTTCTTCTTCTTCTTCTTCTCTTCTTCTTCTCTCCTCCTCTCTCCTCCTCCTCCTCCTCCTCCTCCATCATCTCCTCCTCCTCCTCCTCCTCCTCCTCCTCCTCCTCCTCCTCCTCCTCCTCCTCCTCCTTATTCTTCCATCATCATCTGCTAATGAATCCACACAGCATTTCAAGAAAGCAGCTGGATCAAAATTTGGGACTTGGATCTTATATATGTTGATGGCAGCAAGATTACGTTCTGCACAAAAAACCGGGAGGACCCTTCGATCCCCTCAATGGACGGACAGCTGGCAAAGTCAATGGAGTTAGCAGAGGTGGAAAAGAAAAGAAAAAAACCCCACACAGTTATTTTTGTTTCTACCTGGAAACCGCTTCTGGACTTTGTGCTCAAGGTGGAAAAAAACCCAAAACTTTGATTTGGGGTTTTACCAATTAGGTAGGTTTGTCATTATAGAAACGGCTAGTTTTATATTATCATATAAAAGTAAAAAGTTGAGGGTTGCTGCTATTACCTTATTCTATTGCACCATTTTTTTTCCTTTCTTTTGTCCTGTCGCCCTATACTTCTCTCTTCCCCTTTTCCTCTCTTACTTTTCCATTATTTTCTATGGCATTTTTGCATTTTATATTGTAAACTAATAACATTTTGAAATTATGAGCAAAAAAGAGAGAAAGAAACCAAGGGAGAGACGAGGAAACGAAGCTATCACGCATCCCACAACTACAAAGAAAGAAAAAGAAAGCAAGAATGAAGACCCGCTAAGAAATCAAAAGCAGCTCATTGACCAAGCTCATGTTCTCCCTTTAAGTGGCCTTAATTTCTCCCTGGCAATTATCTCCTTTGATTATTATAAACCAACATTTGGAGATGCCATGGGGACTACTTAAAGGGTCCCCCCCCCCAGTCTGCAGCTTTCTCCCGTTAGGAAATAAAATAAAATAAAGAGCGACTGTACTGCTGATTGTTTAAAATTGCTTTCTACGCTTTCCTATTAGTCAAATCCTAATAATTTCTTTGAAACGTCTTTATTTTCCCTCCATCAGGGTGGAATTGGCATAAATCCAGGCTCGGACGGGGAGGGGGGGGGAACTGATTTCTTTAGCAGCAGGAAATGGGATGGATGTTTGCAAAGTAATCAGCCTTTTCCATCTCTTCTCTCCTCTTTTGTTGAATCTGTGAAGTTTTGTGGGTTGTTTTTTTTTTTTTTTTTGCAGATTTATGTGACGGTGGCGGTCCAGGATTTACTATCTTGAAGCCCTGTGGCAACCTTTGACAATTCATGAACCACAGCTGTCAAAGGACATCTGACGCTATCCCATATCCAATAAACAAATCCTATTTTCCTTAAAAACAGTGACTGTGAGAGGGACCTTGGAGTCCTAGTGGACGATCACTTGACCATGAGCTAGCCGTGTGCAGCAGCAGCCAAAAAAGCGAACACAATCCTGGGTTGTATAAACAGGCGTAGAATCAAGATCACGCGAGGTATTAGTACCGCTTTATAAAGCCCTAGTGAGACCACACCTGGAATACGGCAGCCAATTTTGGTCACCATACTACAGAAAAGATGTTGAGAGTTTGGAAAAAATTCACAGAAAAGCAACTAAGATGATCGAAGGCCTGGAGGCTAAAACATACGAAGAACAGCTGCGGGACTTGGGTTTGGCTAGTCTGTTGTTCGTCCATCGATTTTGATGAAGAACTTGACATCTTGTGGGTTATGGGCCATCAACGATGTGTCCGTAGGTGGCTAAGAAGACCAATGTTAGCACAAAATGTTCTGCTACATACTGAGCAAAGAAATGTAGACACTGTTATTTCAGCATTTACAGCTTTGCGGAGTGCTCGCTTCTCTTGTGCCAAGATTGTCCTTCTGTGTTCATATGTCTGGCAACCCTGGTACACCAAGGTGCGCCATGTCGGTCGATCATGCGCCAGAAGTTCCCAAGAGATGGTGTTAATATCCAGGGACTTAAGAGAGGCTTTCAACGTGTCTTTGTATCGCTTCTTTTGTCCCCCGTGCGATCGCTTTCCTTGAGACAGCTCACCATAGAAGAGCTGTTTAGGGATGCGATGATCTGGCATCCTTACAACATGGCCTGCCCAGGAGCATCTGGGCTTTCATCAACAGAGTGTAAACTGATGATAGGCCTGCTCTGGAGAGGACATCTGTGTCTGGTATCTTATCCTGCCACCGGAAGAAATAGGGGAGACATGATAGCAGTATTCCAGTTTCTGAGGGGCTGCCACAAGGAAGAGGGGGTCAGGTTGTTCACCAAAGCACCATAAGGAAGGACGAGAAACAATGGATGGAAGCTGATCAAAGAGAGAAGCAACTGGATTTAAGGAGAAACTTCCTGACAGTGAGGACAATCAACCAGTGGAACAGCTTTGCCTCCAGAAATTGTGGGTGCTCCATCATTGGAGATTTTAAAGAAGAGACTGGACAGTCACTTGTCT